AGAGTCCTGAAGTTGATAGTGAGGCAGGTGGGGTATGAACATCTAGAAATGAATGCAAGTTGGAGATCATCTGGCCTTTCTTCATCTTCCTGAATGAGTTGAGGAGTGGAGAATCACTTTCTGCTGAAGATCCTGCTTTGTGAGATGTCCTCGGCCTGCCCAAGGCTGGAAGCTGCCTGGTGGAATTAATCAGGACAGTCCAGAAACTCCCCGGGGCCTGGATAGGTGGAAACTGGAAAAACACCACTGCCCTTGCCATAAGTCTCTGGTGGTATGGAGCCAGGCAGCTGGGAAGGGATGGGGAGATGAGACGGCAGGTTCTTGGGAACGCATCTTCTCACGGTTTGGCTGCAAGCTTGTTTACTGTGTTTGTTTGTTTTTTTGTTTTGTGTTTTCGGATTTTTTTTTTTTTTTTTTTTTTTTTTTTTTTTTGGTGAGGATGTTGCAAATGGATTAAAATGAGGAACCAGTAAGAAGTTGATGAGATCTGAGGCCCAGCATGTTCTCTGAGGTTTGCAAGAACCTGAAAATGCTCTGGCCCTCGGATCCAATTGATGTTACAGGCGAGTGGGTCGCTGAACATGGCAACAGGCCAGCCAAGAGGGGCTTGGTTGCATTCTGGACCTCAGTGGGAATTTTGCTTGCGTGAGATTTGTAGTCCTCAGATCTCCAGGGATGAGAAAATTCAGTCTTCGAAACGCCAGCTGGGTTGGGGAGGAGGAGCTGAACCAGCCAACATGCCATCCCGATTTTGAGGGCCATCGGTAGCCTTGCTTCCCCTTGGTCTCCCTCCTGCTTCCATGCCCTGGAATCTTAAGAACAATAAATAGGAGAAACACACAGACAGAACGAGGAAAGTTACAGTGTCCACAGACTCTAGGCCTAGTGTCAGGAAATGCCTGCACGAGGAAGTCAGAGCCTGAAGTCTTTCCCCACCACCAGAAAGTCAGGTCCAAAAGGAAGAAAGAGAGCCTGAGGGGCAATGGGAGGAAATGGAAAAAACAAACAAAAAACCCAGAAAATACCAGCTATGATAATGACCAACCATAAAAATTCCTAAGATATTACTCTATATTACAAAAGAAGCAATGAGACTGAATAGCCCTATTACAAATTTGCTAACCACACACATATACGTACATACTTTTTATCTGAACAAAAAAATACACTACTCTGGATATCCTACAATGTAGGCCTGCATCAGATACTTCTAGAGCCAGAAACGTGGCAACAGAAAATGCAGAGGTAAATTTCATTTTGGGGGCGTAGCCAGGCTGGTTTGGGTCTCCCTGGCTGAGTGAAAGGATTTGCATGTTGTCATATAAGCGGTGAGAAACCAGAAGTGTATGTGTGGGGGCGGGGGGCTTGAGCTCAGGGCTGGAGGCTCTCTCTTGTTCCCCTGGGGGGCCGCAGAGGTGACCCCTTCTTCCTCCAGCCACTGGAAAAGCCCTCTCACAAAGGATCATGCCCTAGAGGCATTTCACTACAATCTCACTGCATTCGAAATTACCTAATGGATGCTGAAGCCTGGGGTTGTGTTACATGGAACTCGTTAGCAGAGAAATAAGGAATGGGTGAGGGGCAGGGGGGGAGAGAGAGAGAGAGACCTGGCTCTTGTGAACCCCTGTCCGTGGTGAAATTTCCATTTCCCCTTGTCCGTGGACTAGACACTCCAGCCGTGACTTGGAGCAAGACAGAAATGTACAATAGTAACACACATCAATACATCACAGTTTTACAGAAGAGAATACTGTTGTTGTTGTTGCTGTTTTTCTCCTCAGAAGAGTGGGTCTCATTAGGAGAAAGGGCAGGGGCGAAGCTACAGTCACCAAGACGTGGAGGAGGAGAGCTGGGAATCAGTTCGGCAGTTTGCCGCCACCAGCCCTACTCGGGGGCAAGCCGGGTGAGCTGAAAGGGAGGGCCTCCTCGGGATTTGGCTGTTCCCCAGTCTTCTTCCTTCTTGATCCCCAGTGCTTTCAGAGAAAGGGACTTCACGGAGACAAATATTCTGTCCTCTTTTTTTCTTTCCCCATTAAATGTGCTTAAGAGAAAATTCCTAAAGAAGGCACTGAGAAATCTACTGTAGCCAAGTCCTGTTGTTTTTCTTCCCAAAGATTTAAAAAAAAAAAAAAGTGGAAAAGCCGACTCCTCCAGAGCTCGCCCTCCTCTCTCCGCGGGTCGCAGATGCCCCCGATCACACGGGGACCTGGTCCCTAGCCCTTACTGATAATGGTGGAAGTTGGAAGCCATGGTCCGCTGGGTTCTTGGTGAGTTTCACTGAATTCACCAAAGGGACCAGACATTCACCCGCTAGAGCCCCTAGTTTGGTTTCTTTGGGTTGACTTGGTTTTTTGTTTCCTTTTGTTTTGTCTTTTTCCCATTTTCATTGGTTCAGGAATGGCTGGGACACGGATCACTGAATGAAAGTGGTATTTGCCTCCAATCCATGCTTTCCTCTCCTCTATGAGGACCTGTCTGTTAAGGTCAGCTTCTCAGTGGAGACTCTCGGGTAGATTTCCCAGTGCATGGACACAGGTACAGGCAGGGGTAGACACATATTAAAAATCGGGGTTTGTTCCTTTTTTGGCAGGTGGGGCCTGGGAAAACTTACAATACTCTTATTTTGAGTTGGGCACAGGATAAAAGCTATATTCCCACAATACGTACACAAGTAAAAGAAAAAAACCAAAACAAAATGCGATACTTTCTAAGCATAGTATATGCTGAGTTTCAGTTATTCTGTTTCTATAAGAACTCTATAGGACTCTGGCTTGTAAGCCTGAAAAGGTAGGTTCTTAATGATACTTCTGAAATCGTCCTTCAAAAGTGACTCAATAAAATGCTACTTTAAGGTCAGACAAACTACACGGGGAAGGGAGGGCCAGGTCCTGTGTGACCGCACAAGGCAGAAAGGGCCTTTGGTTACAAGGAGAGTTGCACCAATTGGTTATTAGTTTAAAAGAAAGAAACAAGAAGTCATATCCAATCTGTACACTTCTCATCTGCTTCAACCAACAAATGAAATGCCTCGATTTGAAGAAGGGGTGGTTAAGTTCCTTCTCGCTATATATGGCTATATTTAAACATGTTCACTTTCCTGATATGTAAAATAGACTCTATTATTATTATTGTTATTGATTTTTACAGATAGCATCAGCTCTAAAAATATCTGAATCGGAAATCACAACTATTTACTTTTATCAAAAAGCATTTGTTTGTTTTCCCTGAATTTTCACGTTTGTGCTGACGGCCGACGGAATTGGTGATAAAAACAAGGAAGAGACGCATAAGCTGACATGGCTCGGGGACGACTGTCAGGCGGCCGCTCCTCAGGAGGCCCCCAGCCCCCAGTGTGCCCCGCAAAGCGCTCAGGCCGCTGCTGCCTCCTCTCCCGGGCGTGTCGCCAGCACAGGGCGCCCTCACCCTTTCCCTGCCCCTTTGCCGTTGCTGCCAGGGTGCTCTGAAGATTTCTCGGAGCGTCAAGATACTGCGGCATCGTTTTGTTGGGTAACACAGCAAAGAACAGGACTGCACCCTTCTGGAGGGATCCCTAGTCCTCGGAGACACTGCGAAGCAGTATGAACCAGGTACGGATTCAGCAGAGAACAGGTGTTTGTAAGGGCGGTGGAATGACTCCGTGTCATCATACCTGTGACAGGTGGTCCAACCTCATGCCACTGTACGGAGGGCAGGCGAAACGACTCCGTGACATTTGTGAACGGACAGACGGATCGTGCCATTATACTAACAGGCAGACCGGTAACACCTCGTGTGAAGGACAGGCGAACCCTGCCGTATTTGTTCCATCAGGAAGACGTACGCCTGTCACCAGATGGTGGATTGGCAGATCTACACTACTGTACTTGGGACATCGTCCATCAGTGCTGTATTAAGAGAACGACATCAGTACACTGTACCAAAGCCAGGCAGATCAAAGACATGTCATCTTTCCCAACAGCATGACATCATGCTACCCGGTGGCTCAACCCGATGTTTCTGAACCGAGGAATGGCCAACACCAGCATCCTGTGGGACCCCACTCAGGCAGGCCAATGCCAGGTCGTCAAAAGGGGACAGGAAGACCAACACCAAGAAATACGCCAGAACCGTTCACAACGCACACGAGTACTTATTGCTTTTGTCTGTACTAGCCGCGATGACGGCTGCAGGAAGGAGAGCTGAGTTGGAGCACAGACAGGGAGACCGAAAACACACCAACAGCTGGTTGACAAGAAAGAGGACAGAGTAAACACCCAGTGCCCACCGTCCACTGTATTCTTCGGAGATGTGCCTGCTTCTGGTACACGTGACTCTGCGGGAGGCCCCACTCGAGGGGTCAGTACCCTTCCTTGCAAGGGGACTAACGGGAAGCGTCAGAGGGGCAGGGGAGGAGGCCACAGACTTTGACACAGCAGACAGCAGGACCAGCACAACACCCCCCCCACCCCAACCCCGTGGCTGGACACGGGCATGTACCAACAACCCAGCTATAGTCCCAGAAAGTGGCCCATGGGAAATAGTGCTTGTTTTAAAGTGCAAGACGTCGACACTGTCCCTGGTAAAACCTATTTTTGAAAAACATAAAGTGCTTTTTATTTTAACTTTTTTTTTTTTTAAACTTGAATACCACAGGAAACAAAAAGGAATTTCTATTATAGTAGATGCTTTCCCTGCTGCCGCAGGAAGTATTCAAAAGTCTGAATTGGGCATTTCAATTGGGGATTTTGTTTTTTTCCTTTCATTTTTGCAGGTTAAAAAAAAAAATCAGATTTCATTCTGTTCTTCAGTAACATACAGTCTCTTTGAATAAGCTATTTCTTTTGCATATTTGACACTTGCATATCTTTTGAGTCTATACTAGTGATGCACAGAAAGTGTTTTCCTTATGACAACCCTACAGCACAGCTCACAGTTCATACTGCCGGCTGAGTGCCTGCCGTCTGAACCCTTCCCGGATTGCCAGGGGGCAATTAGAATCAAGGACAAGTGGTGCAACTCACCCTGACGAAATCTCAGAATAAAATCTCAGGTACTATGGAACACTGAAGTCAATGAAGACATTTGAGTAAGGGTTTCGCGCTGGGATCGTGGCTGATGGTGTGGAAATTTCCCCATGACACGAGTATCCTCTGTAGCCTTCTTAACAGCGGGATCCATCCAGGAGGTGATGGACAGGAGTTCCTAGAGGTGGCCAGGGAACATCCAAAACCAAATTGGTCAGCCCAGCTGCTTGTTCCGGCGTCCTTCTCCAGCTGAAGCCGGGAGGGCTGGAGAGGCTGCGCGCCCCCCTCCCCCCGAGGCTGTGATGGACGCCATGACAGACAAGTGAGGAGTAGGTGGCCTTCGTTAGGTCCAGCATGTGGTAGTGGTGGCTGTGAGTTCTGCCCACGTCATCTCCCAAAGAGGGCAGTGAACTTGGTACAAAGAGATGCCACATCCTGTGGCTTGGCCGACTGCATTCTGTCGTACCTGTCGTGGCTCTCTAGGACCTAGGGAGCCTCCCCTAGAGTTTTGCTTCTGTCTGGAGGCTCTGCAGAGCCTTTCTGAGTTCGTGCGGAAAGGCTCTGCGGCAGGGAAGCTGGACGGCACGCCTCTCGGGTCTCGCCACGAGTCTCTGTTGCGGGGAGGCAGCTCAGATGCTCTGATCCCGTGTGCTCGCGTGGGCTCCTCCTCCCGGCAACACGCGGACGTCGGGGGAGATGTGGTTCTCGAGTTTGCACTTTTCCTGGCCACTGGGGCCTTTTCCAGTCAATGCTTCTGTTGAGTAAATGCAGTTCTGCCTTAAGAACTTAGGGGAGGTGGGTAAGGGGGAGCTTTCGAAGTGGTTCTTCTCTGATCTTGTCCCGACACTGAACTTGGGACTGGTGCTCGCCTGGACGCTCTTGGGAGGGCTGGAATCTACACTGTAGAGCACCTGCCCCTCGTCATCTGTGTCCGCATCGATGTACTGGTGGACACCTGCTTCAAAGTTGAATGCTATTGCTGTGTGTTTCTCAGGTGATCGGGGGGGCGTCCTAGCACTTGCTGTGGTGTAGACGGAGGACTCCGGACTCAGTACAGGCCTGTCCAAGAGTGTGGCACATTCCAGTCCGGCGACAGCAGCGGCAGCGCCCCCCCGGTTCCTAAGAGGGTCATGGTACATCCCCAGAACGGGGACTAGTGGACTGGGGTCCCCCTCCATGAAGTTGACTTTAAGTGCTCGGAGCTTCAGGGGGTTGTTCGTCTTCAGAGAACTCTTGGGGCTCTCAATGAAGAAGGTAGAGCGATGGCTGGCATCAGGGGTGGGGTTGGCCTCCACAAATCTACCACCACTGGCAGCCAGAGCTCCCCGCCAGCCCACCTCTGGGGCCATATTGCCCCCAGTCTTGCTGGGAAGTGAGGCCAGAGGGCTGTGGGAGAATCTGGTGGCTTCCGGGAAGTCTGTGGCACAGCTAATGAAGCTATCAATGCTCGACATGCTTCGCATGTCGATGACCCCTTCTGTACGTGTGGGCAGAGGGGCTACAGGGCTGGGGATACTCTCCATTTCAAGTTCTTCCTTTGGTTTGCTCTGCGTTGTTGACTCCTTCGTATTGAGGATGGGTTGAGATTGGGTCTTGGCCATCTTATTGTACATGTCTTCCAACTGCTGGACGTTCAGGTGCTGAGGACTAGAAGATGATCTGGCCTTCTCAGGGGATCCCTGCTCCTTGGTTTCAAAAGACTTACTTGAGCTAGTTTCAGACAGTGTCCTCTTTGTCCATTTCCATTTGTTGGGAGACAAGTGATTATCTTGCACTTTGTCTTTCTTACCCATATTGTCTCCATTTTTCTCAACCACAATGTCCATCATCTCGATGCTCCGGGCAAAAGCATCTTTCATGTTCATGGAGACGATGCTGCCATTCCTCTTGGCTCTCTCCAGAGCCTCTCTCCGCTTGATCGCTTTCTCCTGCCTCTTCTGCTCCTTATAGAACTCAGAGAAGTTATTGACAATGATGGGGATGGGAAGAGCAATCACCAGGACCCCTGCAATGCAGCAGAGCCCCCCAACAATCTTCCCCAGGAGAGTCTTGGGGTAGATGTCTCCATACCCAACGGTCGTCATGGTGATGGTGGCCCACCAGAAGGAGGCTGGGATGCTTTTGAACTTGGTGTCATCCTCATCCTTCTCAGCAAAGAAGACAAGGCTGGAGAAAATCATGATGCCCATGGCGAGGAAGAGGATGAGTAAGCCCAGCTCATTGTAGCTCCTCCGCAGGGTGAAGCCCAAGGACTGGAGCCCCGTGGAGTGGCGTGCGAGCTTAAGGATACGGAGGATACGCATGATGCGGAAGATCTGGACCACGCGGCGGACGTTCTGGAACTGCAGCACACTCTTGTTGGATTCGGTGAGGAAGATGGTGACATAGTACGGCAAGATGGCCAACAAGTCAATGGCATTGAGCGGGCCCTTGAAGAACTTCCATTTCTTAGGGGAGGAGAGGAACCGCAGCAGGTACTCCATGGTGAACCACGCAATGCACACGGCCTCCACGTGGGCCAGCTGGGGGTTGTCTGTGGTCTGGCCGAACTCGTCGAGGCTCTGCAGCTCAGGCAGCGTGTTAAGTGACAGGGCAATGGTGGAGAGGACGATGAACATGATGGAAATTATGGCAAGGATCTGCAAGGAGAACAGAGTGGAATTTTGTTACCAACTGCCAGAAGGATGACCATCTCAACACCCTGCATCTGCAGTTGCTCTCAACATGCCCGGATGTCTGAGCAAAAAGATCCCTTATTCAAATCCATTTATTCCAGATGTACAAACCAAGGCCCAGAGACGGCAATAATCTAAAGCTAATTATTCCAGCCCAGGGGGCGGGATCACCAGTGAGGATGCAGGAGATCTGAAAGAGGGTGTAGGGTTGGCAATTGAGAGCTTGGGCTCTGGTGTCAGGCTGTTTTGGGTTCGAATCCCAGCTCTGCCACTTCCTTACCCTGGGCCAGTTGTTTACTTTAAGCCTCATTTTCCTCTCTGCAAAATGGGATGGTAAATAATGTCTACCTCGGAGAGCTGCTGCGAGGCGTAAACGCGCTCACACGGGCAAGGCATCAGGACAGCTTCCAGCCGCGCGCAAAGTGTCTGATACATGCCAGCTGTCCTCACAGGGGAGGTCTCTCAGCCCACAGCACCCCATCAGCCTATCCCACCCAGCCTCCGAGGGGTCCAGCTGGTTTTCGCTTCCTGCCCTGTCCCGAAATGGCCAGCTCTATCCCCTCAGCCAGTGCCCTCGTGGCCGGGGTAAGTATGAAAGGCTTCCGTTTTCTGCAGTGAATCCCCGCTCACCACACTGGGTCGTCAAGCCTGCGTTTTCACCCCAACCCCTCTCTTCGGGCCTCTCCTGACACAGGTTCCCAAATGTCACACTTCTCTGGCCACACGCTATTGGTCAATCCTGCACAGCTGTGTCTCTTTTTCTCTGTTCAGTGAAGGCCAGGCCATCTTTTAAAACCCAGCCCACGCGGCGCCTCCCTGCAGAGGTCATCCTTGGCGGGGCTGGCTGCTCCCTCCTTCGGGCTCCCTCGTCATTCTGTGGGTACTTTTAGACACGTCCCATTACAGAGGGGGCTCTGTGTGTGTGTGTTTATCACTGCCCAGAATCTATGAGCTTTTGGGGACAGGGATGGGTTCTGAGCCTTATCTCTGCACCCCCAACACCTAACCCGGGGCAGGGGCTCCCAAAGTGTTTGTTCACTGTTGCTCAAGTTCACAGAGCAACAAGTGGAAGGGATAGGACCAGAAATCAGTTTTAAAATATTTGGCTACTTTTTATTGATCATGTACTATTGGTGAGGCACTTTGCTAGGCAGTAGGGATGCCATTAGCAGCAGGAAAGCTCTGGTGTCTTTCTCGGCCAGCTCAGATGATGAAAGTGGGTGTCACGTGGTTCCCCAACCTCAGCTGCTCTACCAACTTCCCAGGTTTGTTCGTTTTGTTTTTTTTGCTATGCTTGTATCCAACGTATCCTCTGTCTTTTAAACAAAAGCTTTTGGGTTTTAATTCTCCATGTTCACTTATTGCAAAAGTAAAATTCCGTAACCACTTTATAAAAAGAAATATCTGATACATACAAAAGTAGATCAAATTTATGTACATTTACAAACCATAATCAAGTGAACACTTGTGAACCTATGACCCAGGTGAAGAAACAGTATGTGACAGTAATGCTGACATCACCCTTCTTCACCTTGGGGGGAACCACAATTTCTTCTCATCCCTCTTCATTTCTGGAGAGTTTCTAATAGAGAGATCTATGTCCCTAACAAACTGCTATTTTGTTTCGCTCAGGACCAACATCCTATTGTATGTGTTCTTTTGTTGCTTGTACTACTCTTCCCTCAGTAGCAAAACAACACACACTGCTCACCTTTTCTGTTCTATTTTAGCCTTGTCCGAAGAAACGACATTAGCAAAGATGCTGGTTTTGTGTGCTAGGGAAAGGTGTGTTAAATCTTCATTAAAATAAATACATGTTTATTGGAATAAAGCATTCCGGCGGCATACTTTGGGAACTCCTGCACTGAGTTAGGAGTGTGGGTTCTTGAGGTAGAATCCAACTCTGTCATTTACTGGCCAGGTGGCCTTGGCATTGAAACTTTCCTTGCCTCAGTTTCCCTACTTCTGAAATGGCGGATATTCCAGTCATTCATAATTGGGGATGATTTGTCAAAATTTGACAAATGCCACAGGAATTTTTGGTATCAAAAATTTGATAACCAAATTTTATTTGGTTAAAATAAACCAAGAGCGGGTCGCCTGGGTGGCTCAGTGGGTTAAAGCCTCTGCCTTCGGCTCAGGTCATGATCCCAGGGTCCTGGGATTGAGCCCTGCATAGGGCTCTCTGCTCAGCAGGGAGCCTGCTTCCCCCTCTCTCTCTGCCTGCCTCCCTACCTACTTGTGATCTGTCAAATAAATAAGTAAAATCTTAAAAAAAAAACAACAACCACCACAACCAATAGGGGAGGGCTACTCCTGGCAGCCAGTGGGTGGAGGTCAGGGCTGCTACGGAATCCTACCGTGCACAGGAACAGTCCCTCAACAAGGAATGATCTGTCTCAAAATGCCAATAGTCCCAAGATTGAGAAACCCTAGAGTATACCAGTAGCCAGCCCCTCATAAATTACAGAGTGGGGGACGAGGAGATTATGCACATGGGATTACCAGCACAGGGCTAGACACAGAGGGGGTCAGATTTTCTGAGGCGGTCAGATTTTCTGAGGCAGCCAGCCAGGGCCTTAGGCTGAGCCCGGCAGCTTCCTGCTGTAGGTAGGCACTGATCCCCTCCCACCCGCCCAAGGGAAGCCGGCAGAAGAGCAGATTCCCCGGGAGCCTGTTCCTTTAAGAGCTGGGAGGTCCCACTTCCCCCAGAGGCTGGCAAGGGAAGCCTGCTCTAGTTTCTAACCCCTAGACAACTCCCGGGAAGGCCCACATAATTGATGTTCTGCTGACAGACGCATGAATTATGCACCGGGCATATTATGTGCATATTACATGCAGTCCTTAGGGCCTGTTATTCTAAGGCCCGAGTCAGCTTTGAACCTGAGCATGTGCCCCGCCCTCCCCTCCTTTCAGCCCCAGGATGCCTAGAAAAGAAGTAAAGGGGGCAGAGGCCTCATGACTCCTGGGGGAAGGCTGTCAGCTGCTCAGGGTTGTGTTGGGAAGGTCAGAGCACCTCAGGTCTCCTTCCCAGCATGCAGGCACCCCTCTTCACCCGTCCTGGCCCTGCCCACAGACTGTTTTTTTTCCTAGGTCCACTGAAGCCTGACTTTAGAGTCAGGGCCTTACCTCCTGGCTGGGGAACTTCCAAATGGGTGTTAAACCCTCTGTGCCTCAGTTTCCTTATCTCTAAGATCTGACGGGGGTTGGGGGGTGGGTGTGGGTGGAGGTGTCCAATGCAAGGGTGCAATGAGAGTCCAATGAATTACTACTCTAGCAGCCTTCTACTTATTTATGAGCTGGTTTGGGATCTAGGTTTGAGTCCTAACACTATTATCCCTGGCTGTGTGGCTTTGGACAAATCGTTACCCCTCTCTGAGCCTCCATGTCTCCATTTGTATCTCTAGAATGGAGATGGAAGTAACTGAGCACTTACCACATAACAGCTACTTAATATATGCTACGTTATGAAATGATGATCCAGGTAATTTATCTCCACTCCTGCTCCCAGCCGCTGGACTGGCTGCTGACGTCTGTGGGCCTGCTAGGGCCAGTGCCTGCTAAGGCAGCAGACATCCCGCAAATGGCCCGAAACCCAAATGAACAGTATCAACCTGGTCTCTGGGATGGACTGCAGGGAACCAGCCAGCACTGGAGTCCTCCCAGCCCTTCTTCAAACCCCTGTCTGGGCCTCTGCATTTCCAGCTTTGCTTTCCTGGGATCTGAGCCCAATCAGATTTGGGCAGGACTCCAGGAACCCAGCAGCAAAGGCAAAAGCCAGGCCAGGGGACTTAGAGGCAGTCCTCAAATTCCCTCCCTATGAGGAGACTCCGGATCCTGGAACCCACCTGTCTGCACCAAATGGGGGCAGAAGCTTTGGTCCTCTGGGGGAAGTGAGCAGCAGGTGGGAGTCCCCAGGATGGGGGTGCTAAAGCCAGGCCCTCCTCCTAATTGTCAGCTCTGGTAATTGATCACGGGGATGCCCACCTTTGGCTCTAGCAGCTATAAATACAAACTGTTTATCATTGCCTCCACACACTCCCCTGCTCTTCCAGGAATGTGAACAAGGCACAGAATATCTGTGCATAAAAGGGCACAGGCTCCTGTCTGGAAAGATGGGGAGACATAAGCAGAGAAGGGAAGGGACTCATTCATGGGTACACAGCTCATTGGAGTCAAACCCCTTACATGGATGTTGGAAGCTCCAGCAAGCGGAGAGACATTCAGGGCTTGGAAACTGATTTTTTTTTTTTAAAGTGTCATAAATCATTTTTTAATTTTTAATTTTAACTCCAATAGAGTTAATCTACAGTGTTATGCTAGTTTCAGTGTACAGTATAGTAATTCAACAATTCTATGCATTATTGGGGGCTCACTGTGATACGTGTACTTTTATTTGGAAACCGCTCTTCATGCACAAGCATGTTTGTAGCAGCATTATCCATAAATAAAAAAGTGGAATCAACCCAAATGCTCATCAACTGATGACTGGGTAAACTGGTATATCCGTAGAATGGAATATTAATTATCCATAAAAAGGGATGGAGGACAGATGCAGGCTCCAACAGGGATGAACTTTGAAAACACGATGTGAAGTGAAAGAAGCCAGATACGAAAGGCCGCCTACCATAGGATCACATTTACATAGTGTCCAGATAAGGCAAATCTTTAGAGATAAAAAGCAGATTATGGCTGCCAGGATGGGAATACGGATTAACAGTTGTTAATGGTTATGCGGGATCTCTTTGGGGGTGATCAGAGTGTTCTAAGACTGATATAAGGTGATAGTTGCACAACTGGGCAAATTTACTAAAAAAATCAGCGAGCTGCACACCAGAAATGGGTGAATTAGATGGTATGTAAAATAAGCCTTAATAAAGTTATAACAGTTTTGCTTTCCATAACGAGTATCCCATTGCTTTTAATCCTCACAACTGCATTGCTAGGTCATAGGAGAGAAGCAA